CGATTGTTTACATCTGCTTAGTGATAACAGACATGGATACTAGCTTAATATTTAGCCATTTCCATGAGTTTTTACTTTTTTTTCACTATTTGAAGGTAAGTATATTTTGTAAATCAATTGTGTAGTGCCTTAGGATCATGTTAAAAGCTGTAAAGGTATACTTTGTTACTTATTAATTCAGAACACACTCCGGCAATCCAACGGTCAAACCATGGATGTTCTCTCAATGCGTGTAAATCATTCTTAACTCTTCAACAAATATCTCAATATCATTCAGAACATTCCCACGTTTTATAAACTTATGTTATTTTAAAATCCTGTGTGTTTTAAATGTAACACTATACATCGAGAAAGTCTGGTAACCGAAGAAGGATCCTACGTCTACTTTCTTTGGCTCCAGCTAAAACATACCGGTCTCCTCATCTCATCAGTATTGTTAAAGGTAAGTTTTTTTCATCATCAATGATTGATACTATCATTTTGGTGTCTTCAGTGAAACATTAAAGAGCGAAATATTAGGAAATAACAACTGACTCGCTAAATCCAGGTTTGAGCGTTGGACTGCCGGAGTGTGTTCTGAATTAATAAGTAACAAAGTATACCTTTACAGCTTTTAACATGATCCTAAGGCACTAAACAATGAACCACTAGACAAGGTACGAAGTTCAGCTTTCAGATTCATGTTTCCCAACCAAAATTTCACGTAGAACACGATACGCCCAACGAAAATTACCGAAATTAACTCCTTACGAAGATATTTAATGATTCTTGATGCGTGAATTCAAACCACCCGCTCATGAAAACTCAATGCTCTACGTGATTCACATCGCGCGCTGAACATGATCATGACAGTCTTTGCGATGTAAAAATCTGGCAACCTCAATTTTGACGCTTGGGCTCAGCTATAGCAAATTGCTTATAGTTTGAACAACACATGGTGGGAAATGAACATTGCTCAATTGAGAAGCTTGCTGAAACCATTGTATTGCGCGATTTGACTCACGTAGAGCTTTGAGTTTCTTATGAGCAGGCAGTTCAAATTCCTCGTAACCAATGTGAAATAAAAACGTTAATATCTTTGTTAGGATATAATTCCAGTAATTTTCGTTGCGCGAATCATGTTCTACGTGAAATTCTGATCAAGAAACATATATCAGAATGCTTAACTTCGTACCTTGTCTAGTGGTCCATTGATTTACAAAATAAACTTACCTTCCAATAGTCACAAAAAAGTAAAAATTCATGAAAATGGCTAAATATTGAGCTAATGTCCATGTCTGTTATCACTAAGCAGATGTAAACAATCGCCCATTGACTACAGTCTTCCTTAAAAATAGGGTTTATCCCGTCGGCTCTTATTTATCTAAGGAAGGTTCTAACCATTCAAACGTACGAGAAATCCATTTCTGATTTCCATTTTGATCAAAAAATTATCGATTGACTCGATATTTGCATTTGAAAAGCGGCTGCCATTTCCTTACGGGAAAATACATTGTAAGTGATGAAGAAACCAGGTCTGTCGAACCATTTCACGTCACAAGTATGGCGGACCCGAAACGACCGTTTTGAAAATCCAAATTCTGAGGCGTTTTTAAGTTGATTTTTTGGGGGTTTCCGGTGATCCAAAAACTCCGGGAAAACTCCTGTGACGTGCCTTAGTTCTTTCGATTAAAGCAATAAAAAAAATTGGTGCAACAGGCACATTGTCGTGAGGAGTTGATCAAAATTATTCCGATTACAATCCGCTGCCTATGACGCCCGCAAGAGCGAAAAGTTGTTTCTCCCTAAAGTATTGCAGTGGAGATACGCGGTTGTTTACGCGCACCGCGCCGAACAGGTTCAATCCTGTCGCGTGACGTCACAGCCTTATAGACGAAATTTCAGGTTTTAGGAGGTATTTTTCGACGGATTTTTGTGGAAATTGGTATCCGAGGGTATTTTTCAATGGGGAACTCGAATGTTTGGTCCGATTTTCAAAATTTCAAAATCCAAGACGACGGCCGTGGTTTAAAATGCCAAGTCTGCTCCTGTTTGATCGATTTTCGTGAAATTCGGTAGTAAGAGATATTTTTCAACGGGAAACTCGAATGTTGGGCCCGATTTTCAGAATTTCAAAATCCAAGATGGCGGCCGTGGCCTAAAATGCTAAGTCGGCTCCTGTTCGATCGATTTTCGTGAAATTCAGTGTTCGGCGGGTACTTTTCGACGGGAAGCCCGAATGTTTGGTTAAATTTTCAAAATTTCAAAATCCAAGATAGCGGCCGTGGCCTAAAAAGCTATCTCGGCTCATGATCCATTGATTTTAGTGAAATTCGGCATTAGAGGTTACATTTCGACGGGAGACTCGAATCTTTGGTCAGATTTTCAAAATTCATAAATCCAAGATGGCGGCCGTGGTCTAAAATGCTGTCTCGCCTCCTGATATCCATCGATTTTTGTGGAATTCGGCATTAAGGGGTGTAGTTCGACGGGATTTTAGAATTTTAGGTTCGACTTTCAACATTTCAAAATCCAAGATGGCGGCCTCGCACCAAAATGCGGTCGCGGCTCCTGGGATATCAATTTCTGTAAAACTTGGTGAAAAAGCAGATTAAGTCAATGATGTCTTCGCATCAATGTTAAAAACTATGCGGGGCGGTGGCGGCTCGCGGAGCGAGTCGCAAGTTCATCGCGAAGCGAAGAACTGGGGTCCAGGGGCACTCCCCGGCGAGACGTGTCAGCTCGCATTGCGAGCTAATCACGACTAGTTAATTATACAGGGTTATCCAAAAGTCACTGACCACCCCTGTAACTTTTTTCCAAATTGAGATAGAAGTTTGAAACATTGGCAATGTTCCTCGGTCTAAAGTAGCAACTTTTCGGTCTCCCCAAAATTTTGGGGGGCGGGGGCTAACTTTTTCTTTTCAAATGGCAACCCCCCCCTTTGTGATACCTCATTCGAAAGATTATAAAATAAATTTTTGGCGCAAACCGCTGGTCAAAATGTTGATTTTTGACAAAATGGCGGCCGGTCAAAGTTCAAAACGGCGGAAATTTGGCATCTCCGTTTTTTATCGGCGGATTGGTTTGAAACTCAGAATCCTAGAGTTTTTTGGGACGAGAAAAACGATTCTGGCATCGGTTTTCCAGAAAAGTCAGTCCTTTCCAAAATGGCGGCGGTCAAAATGGCAGCCTAGAGCGAGAAGTGAATATTTAGGCTGCTTATCGTTGGATTTGCATGGAACTTGGTATCCGGGGGTATTTCGGCACGAGGAGAACGAATATTTCATTGAATATCTGAAATTCCGACGAATTTCAAAATGGCGACGGAAAAGTGGCGAGAAATCAGTTTTACAGCTGTTAACCGATGGATGTGCATGAAATTCGATAGCCTGGTGGTTTTTGGCTGGATAAAAAGAAATCTTTCATTAATTCTTGAAATACTAACAATCGATATCGCATTTCATGCAAATCCATTCGTTAACAGCCGTAAAACTGATTTCTCGCCACTTTTCCGCCGCCATCTTGAAATTCGTCGGAATTTCAGATATTCAATGAAAGATTCGTTCTCCTCGTGCCGAAATACCTCCGGATACCAAGTTTCATGCAAATTCAACGATAAGCAGCCTAAATATCCACTTCTCGCTCTAGGCCGCCATTTTGACCGTCGCCTTCTTGAATAGGACTTTTCTGGAAAACCGATGCCAGAATCGTTTTTCTCGTCCCAAAAAACCCGAGGATTCTAAATTTCAGACCAGTCCGCTGTTAAAAAACGGAGATGCCAAATTTCCGCCTTTTTGAACTTTGACCGGCCGCCATTTTGTCAAAAATCAACATTTTGACCTGCGGTTTGCGCCAAAAATTTTCTTTTTTTATTATCTTTCGAATGAGGTATCACAAAGGGGGGGGGGTTGCTATTTGAAAAAAAAGTTAGCCCCCGCCTACCTTAGGGGGGGCCGCCCCCCAAAATTTTGGGGGGACCAAAAAGTTGCTACTTTAGACCGAGGAACATTGCCAAAGTTTCAAACTTCTATCTCAATTTGGAAAAAAGTTACAGGGGTGGTCAGTGACTTTTGGATAACCCTGTATAAAGCTACTGCACCGAGATTTCAACAACACTTAACAAAAAAACTGTCGGAGCGATTTATTTCAAACTTGGCAAGAATGTAGCTAAGAACCACCTCTACACGCCTGAAAAATCAAATTTAGGATAGAATGCCGCTGAAGCACAAAAAGAAGAAAAGTTGTTTCTTCCTATACGAATGCATTGAGGATACGCGGTTGTTTACGCGAACCGCGCTGAACAAGTTCAATCCTGTCGCGTGACGTCACAGCATTATAGATGAAATTTCAGGTTTTAGGGGGTATTTATTAACGGATTTATGTGGAACTTGGTTACTCGAGGTACTTTTTGACGGGAAACTCGAATTTTTGGTCAGATTTTCAAAATTTCAAAATCCAAGATGGCGGCCGTAGCCTAAAAAGCTATCTCGGTCCATGATCCATCGATTTTAGTGAAACTCGGGATTTGGAGGTATTTTTCAACGGGCAACTCGAATTTTTCGTCAGATTTTCAAAATTCCAAAATCTAAGATGGCGGCCGTAGCCAAAGATAACATCTTCGCCACTATTCACCACTTCGTTAAAAAAAAAAAAAAAAATTCTTCTTTTTAAAAGTTAATAGCTATGATGAGGGGCGGCTCGCGGAACGAGTCGCAAGTTCATCGCGAAGCGAGGAACCAAGGGTCCAGGGGCACTCCCCGGCTAGGCGTGACACCTCGCACAGCGGGCTGAACACGGCTAGTAGCTAAGAAAGGATGGCACAACAATACATGAACCTCGTATTATAAACTATGTATCTTTGCAAAGCATGTGTATCACGGCTTGTCTATCCATAATCTAGCTAGTTTGATACTCATTCGGAAAGTTCTAAGTTAGTTTTTGTTTTATCTCTAGATTAGTAGTTTTTTTATCATGAATATCTCTCATTTTTCTTTCCCTCTCTCCCTTTCATTTTTCAGAACCATATTTGATGGAATTCATTATTTGGACTCGGAACAAGCGTATGCCAAATCTGGCTGCGATTTATTTTCACGTCTACTAGTCACACAAAGGATGAAGGTGCGAGAACATTGCGAGCGCTTGATGTTCCTTGATCCTTTGGGGCATGGCCGAAAAGCAGAAGAATTATTATGGCGCAAAGGATACTATGAGCCTTTTGCCTTCTCTAAGCGTATAAGAGCGGTAAGTTTCTTCCTTTTACATGTAAAGAGGCCTTTTTCAGTATTGAAGTTTTGCATTTGCAACATATTTGTCACTACCCCAAAGTAAAAAGGTAACCAACTCACCGGTACGGTAAAAATCCTAAACTCGGATATTCACGTGAAAAGATATCTGTTGAAGCGACAGGTGCCAAGTTTTGAAGAAAATATTCTTAACGTTTACAAAAGAGGGTTATTCAAAATCGGCGATTTTACCCTACGCTTGGATTTTGCCCGGAGTTGGATATGTTGTTCCCTATCACAAGACACGCCTTTTTCCGGCATTGGCAAGTTCACCCGAAATTTTTCCCGCGCGCTACAGCGTTGCCAAGTTGAAAACAGGCACATTCCGTAAGTGGCATTAAAATTGAGCTATGAAGTTGCGGTTTTAACGAAAATTCTCTAAAAATTACGCACTTTTAGGATATGACCATGTTTTTAATGTCGCATTAATTTTAACATGCATTATTGCCAAATTTCCGATTTTTAAATTCGACAAATGCTACATATTCGCAAATACCCAAAAAAGCTATCTTCAAATTTGAATAAAAAGTTGTCTAATCGATAGTTCGTTCGATTTCGCATCCATCGATATATTATAGCTCGCTGGGAAACTTTTGGTTCGCGAGATATCATCATTTTTGTGAACAGCTTTATGGAGCGACGACGCTTTTTGAGTCCGGGCGGATAGAAATTTTAGCCTCCAAAAACACCGGGTAGCATTAATTCCATGGTTTCCTATGTAATTTTTGGCGCTGAATCCGAATTTGACCATTTCATAAAAAAATTGTCACCAAGATGTTGCCAAATTTGGCAAAAATTGCTTAAAATCGGCCTTTTTGGCGGATTGTAGCCTGTGACTTGCCAGGAGTTGATCAGACGACAAAATTGGTTATTTCCACAGTTAAAACTCGTTAAACTATCTACAAGCTGAGTCAAATTCTTTCTGCTCACGGTAAAATTAAACGCGCGACAAGCAGCAAACTGAAAAAAAGACACCAAAATTGGCGCTTTTTGCGGTTTTTGTCGTAAGTTTCTTGTTTTCCGATTAAGAGAAAATTAGGAAAAATCCTAATTACGCCGAGTGTAACGACAAACTATTGTATTGTTACATATATAGATAAAGAGCCGCTTTAACAGCGGTCTCTCGGGCCCCGCGACGCCTAACCGCCATAGTCCCTTGTCCACCCACAGGTCCTCAGTAATTTAGAGCGCCCTTGTTCCTTTTTAAGCCCCTTATTGTCCTTTCCTGGGCGTCTTCTTCAGTTTGGTGTCGTTACTTTTTTCTATTAAACTCCATTATCTCAGAATTATAAAATAAAATTGTATTCTAAATATAGGGTAATGAATAATAACGGTCAAATACCGCCAAAATTCAACGATTTGTACGTAATTTTGGCAATATTGCAATGCGTCTTGTCTTGTTTTAATGAAGTCTGTCTGAGGAGTACATTTTATTCATTAATTTTTAACAGAAAATTTTCCATTATTGTTTCAAAATGTGGTTTATTGACACGATTCGATAAAACTCACTATTTTATGAATTTTTCCTCTCTGAACTAAATACCCTAGTTATTAGTATATATCTAAGTTGAAAATTAAATTATTCTACAGAAGTGTATTATTTTGCAAGAGAGATACATTTATAAAATTTAAAAATAAGAGGTGAACAAAGAATATAGGACAATAATATCGAAAAAACCAGCGAAAATTAAAGTATTTTGTTTAAGCTTGGCAACATTGGAATATGTTCGATCTTATTTTATTGTTCAATTTTATTAAATTCTGCTCATGTTGTTCATTAGTATAGTCAAGAAACATTCTCTTAATCGGAAAACAAGAAACTTACGACAAAAACCGCAAAAAGCGCCAATTTTGGTGTCTTTTTTTCAGTTTGCTGCTTGTCGCGCGTTTAATTTTACCGTGAGCAGAAAGAATTTGACTCAGCTTGTAGATAGTTTAACGAGTTTTAACTGTGGAAATAACCAATTTTGTCGTCTGATCAACTCCTGGCAAGTCACAGGCTATAATCCGCCAAAAAGGCCGATTTTAAGCAATTTTTGCCAAATTTGGCAACATCTTGGTGACAATTTTTTTATGAAATGGTCAAATTCGGATTCAGCGCCAAAAATTACATAGGAAACCATGGAATTAATGCTACCCGGTGTTTTTGGAGGCTAAAATTTCTATCCGCCCGGACTCAAAAAGCGTCGTCGCTCCATAAAGCTGTTCACAAAAATGATGATATCTCGCGAACCAAAAGTTTCCCAGCGAGCTATAATATATCGATGGATGCGGAATCAAACGAACTATCGATTAGACAACTTTTTATTCAAATTTGAAGATAGCCTTTTTGGGTATTTGCGGATATGTAACATTTGTCGAATTTAAAAATCGGAAATTTGGCAATAATGCATGTTAAAATTAATGCGACATTAAAAACATGGTCATTTCCTAAAAGTGCGTAATTTTTAGAGAATTTTCGTTAAAACCGCAACTTCATAGCTCAATTTTGATGCCACTTACGGAATTTGCCTGTTTTCAACTTGGCAACGCTGTAGCGCGCGGGAAAAATTTCGGGTGAACTTGCCAATGCCGGAAAAAGGCGTGTCTTGTGATAGGGAACAACATATCCAACTCCGGGCAAAATCCAAGCGTAGGGTAAAATCGCCGATTTTGAATAACCCTCTTTGAATTTTAACAGTATTTGAACTAAGAATAACTGAGTGTTTTCCAATAAGGGTCTAATTTAGTGTCCCGAGCTGTTTTTCTTCCTGTAATATGACAACAGTGGTCAAGTGATTTGACCATTTGACTGAAGTTCCTATCACATTTTTCTTACCATTGTCAACTAATTGTCCACTCTTTCCCACATTATTCAGACTACAATATTTTAGCAGAATTTTGAATATGCGAATTTCCCTAATCCATCCCAAAGTGTGTCCCCTTTACCAGGCTCTAGACCTAAAACAGAGTCCGGAGCAAAATGAGAATGGTTACCTGGAAGTACACCTCTAAGTGCACCATTTTAGAAGTGTAGATGTCGCAGGCTAAAGGTCAAATCCGGCATTTAGGCAAATGCCTAGGCAAATAGAAAAGAAATGGTAAAAGTCATTGAAATTCGTCGATTGCCTAGGCGTTTGCTCAAATGCCTGAAGATTTGACCAAATGCCGAAGGCTGATTAGGCAAATAGTAAACTGTGTTTTTAATGAGGTCAAGGTAGCTGCAAAGTAGCTGAAACTGCAACGTCGAGCTCAGAGCCTGCTCAGAAAATATGTCATCTTGAAGCACCAAGCTCCAGCCCGGCTCACAAAGTAGCTAAAACTGCAACGTCGAGCTCTGAGCCTACTCAGAACGTGTGTGGTGATCAACCTCAATGCTCCTCTTGTCAAAAGCCTGGTATCTTAAAAAAATGCAGCTCTTGCGATAATTCATGTCATCAAGAGTGTGGTAATGAAGACGGCGACCAACCATTTGTTTGTAAGTATTGTCCTGGCGAGGCAGAAATTCGCACAACAAGAGCGGAAGCCCATCTACGACAAAAAGTTGCAGCTCAAAAAATGACAGAAAGAAGTTCGAAATTATTCACACCTTTAAAAGTGGAAGATACAATTATTTTGAACATTTCAAAATTTGATCGTGGTCCGTTGGACCCAAAAAACATCGAAGGATTTGTTCTTGACGTCCGCAATAATGTTTACCAAATTGGAACACCCGCAGGTGTCATCAAAAATTGGTGTTCGCGGGAAGAATTAAAACAAGTAGAGGCAATAAAATTTTAAATATCTCAGGTTTCGAGGGATAAGCTAGTGTCGGTCCGCGAAGCAGATTCTGGCGTTTCGTTATTTGAAGGGCAAGGCTTTGTCAAGTGTAATTGCCAAGCCAGTAAAAATCAATGTGCGACCAAACGATGTTCTTACTTCAAAAATCAGAGAAAATGTTCCAGCAAGTGCCACCAACCCATCGCGTGCTCGAACAAGTAACGCTACTGCCTCATTCTTTTTAAGGTACAGACTTTCTTTTTTTTATTTTTTTCTTTGGCCGTGGTTTTTTGGATTATTGCAAATTGACTTTTTCTCAGATTTTGACTATTTGCCTGAAAAGGAACATCATTTGCCTTTTTGCCTAACGTGCCCTCGGCATTTATGCAAATGCCTAGGCTTTTATGTAATTGCCTCGTCATTTAGTCAAATGCCTAGGCAAATAGCCAATCTACGTTTTCGATTAAACTTGACCATTTGCCTAAATGCCGGATTTGACCTGTAGCCTGCGACATATCAATACCTTTTATTCTGTTTTTACTGGAACAATATTCGACATTTCGTTCAGAAGTAATTCCAAGCACGGCAAACGCCGTTTTTCCTGGAAAAAGCCACTTTGGATAGCCGCCACCGGTGTGAAAAAATTTAAAAAAATCTATAACTGTAATTTTTGTTATTTGTATTGTTGCAGGGATCAGTGTGGAACCCAGTGGAAAGAGCATTTCTTCAGGCGCATCTCTTGTCAGGTGTTGGCCACTATCAAAATATCATCCTGCGTTTACAGGTTGAATTTAATATTGATCTTAGAGGCGTACTCGACTTTCCTCTGTTGGTATGTGATGAAGGATTGCCCAAAAGATCAACTTTAATTGGCAAGAAAAGTCTCAGTGAGTGCTCATTCATCCCTCCTATATTGCATGTATGTACTATCGACGAATTTAGTTTTGCGCAGAGTCTCTGGTGACTATTTAGCGACGGCGCGGCGCGTTGCCTGATAACGCTCTCATGAAGACGCACTCGTTCCTCTGTGAGTGCGTAGTCACTAACACAGACGCACATGATACACACACAGACATTTTCGCTCATTCAATGTCAGAATTCACGTTTTTGGCTCTTCGGAAGGTAAACAAACCTTTGCCTTTTTTCAACCTTGGCCTGATCTTTGAAATATTTTCAGAGTTGATAGAGGATTACTTCTCGAGTCCAAAACACTGTCGATTTTTGAAGTCGGACAATCACGGGGGGAGGGGAGTCAAAGTAAAAAATTAAAACTTGCATATTTCGCTAATGGTTTGTCGTAGACAGGTGATCTTGGTCTCAAAATTTAGAAAATACCACCAGCTTTCAGGCAATGTTTAAAAAATTGGTCCATTTTGAAAATTTCATCCATTGCTGCCACGTTGCCGTAATTCAAATTTTCAAATTTTCACACTTTCAGCTGTAATGTTAAGGGATTCGCAGTTAAAAGTAACAAAAATATTTTCTGGTGAAAGGAGATCGTTTAAGCTTCAAAACAAGCACAAGTTCATCCTTGGAAAACAAGTTGGAGGAGAGATATGATTATTCAAAATGGGTGCGGTACACACGAACCCTGGTTTGTTCCGAGTCCCAAGATCACCCATGCCCCCAAACCGACCACGAATTGCAATACCCCATTAGCTCATTCCCTAAGAAAATTATTGAAAAAGAAGAAAATATCGAGACATATGAATGTTACAGGACTAGCCTCAGCTGACGCTCGCTGTATCAACTTTAAAAAATCATGACTCTGTTTCAAATCGTTTCTCTAGGATGGACTTTAATTTTTTAAAAAGCTCAAATGGTACGCATTTATTAGCAGCTCCTCTTGTTTCCTCTTATTTATACCCAGAGAACTGTTGAAGGTGTTAAACACGAATTTAATAATTTATCCTGATCTTGTCATTTTTTACGAATGCTTTTGTCTAGGAGTGACCTAAAAATGTATCGCCCCGACTAAAAATGTAAGAAATTGAAAATTTGAGCTACGCCAACGTGGCAGCAATGGGTGAAATTTTCAAAATGGACCAATTTTGTCATCATTATGTTAAAGTTGGTGATTTTCTCTAAATTTTGACACCAATATCATCTCTCTACGACAAGCCTTTCACGAGTTATGCTAGTTTGAAGTTTTAACTTTGACCCCCCCCTTCCCCTCTATCCCTAATTCTTTGATTTCAAAAATTGTTAGTGTTTTGGACTTGAGAGGTGATCCTCTATCGACCCTGAAAGTATTTCGTAGAACAGGGGGAGATTGGAAACGACCACTTTTGAATAAGACTGTCTTATCACCCATTCTCCTTCATTTTACTGAAAGACTCCTGCATGCAATGTTCCTGCAATTCTGCGGGAAGTTAATGTCGTAATATCAAGACAGATTTTTAATTTCATTAAAAATTTATTTAAATTTGCATTAAAAATATACTTGGAAAAATTGATGATAGTTAGAAATACCTAGTGATTGTCAGTAAAAGGGAGTAACAGTTAGCAAATTGGAGTAGAAATATAGTGTCATTTAGTGCAGTAGGTCAACTTTTCACCCACCTTTCCTCACAAAATGGCGCTGTTGGGTGAATGTTTCCGGTTAACCCATAGTTTTTCTCACTCGTCAGAAATGCGCAAAGGGAAACTTGGAATCGATGTCTGTCGGTGGCGAGATTTCAAAATGTTCAGTCTTGCTTAATTTTCCCTCGGATGGAAAAAAAGTATCTTGGATCCAAAATCCAGACTCAAGATTCGACAAGAAAAATACTTTTGATTCAATCGAATTTCCTTTTTGTTTATGCAAAAATCCGATTGATTTGAGAGTATTTTTTAAGAGTCGGAACTCCGAATCCAAGAGACTTTTTTTTCCAGTGCAGGTAAAAGAGTTAACAGCATCGTTTGCGCTTTTCGTAGATACTTCCTTAAATACAAAAATTACGTCGAATTGTATTTTAATTGAAAATTGTCGGAAAGGCTGTAAAGTCGGTAACTAAGTGACGAATCCTTTTCCTCAATCCAAATAAAGGATCATGAGAGATTCCAGAAAAGTAGGGAAAAGCTTAGTTTTTTGTTCGGGAACGAAAAGTCTAAAAACAATCGCATTTTTCAGAACTTTCTTGGGACTGTTTCTTTTCTCCCTCTATTTCTTTTGGTGTCCTTGAGAAAATGTGAGGAATTTCTTTTCTAGTGAAATCCTGTGTACTCAAAGCTGTCTGTCGTGCATAACATAGGAGTGCAAATGAGTTTCTTCCTTTTTCTTCTTCTGAACAAACGCTAGGGATTTAATGGTTAATCCCAATGCAATTGATAGCGCTGAGTTCAATTGTGACCATAGTTTCTCTCTAACATTTTTAAGAAAACCTTGATTTTCCTTAAAAACGGGCTGTTTCGAGGAAGTAGGCCCTAAGGCCGATCTGCCACTGACAGATACGCTCCCACAGCCCGTCGAATATGCGCCCCTGTGACGAATAGCAAAATAACAGGAGAAAACAAGCAGTGAACTCTGTAAGGATTGAGCGGGTCAAAAAAATCCCAGAAAAAATGAGTGTAGCCAAAAAGTGATAAGTTTCCGAGGGACCAAAGAATATGGGATGACGGCTCAAAAATGGTGAAGAAACATGTGCTAGACCTAAAAGGTTGGAGGTGATTGTACCGAGAGATCAAAGAATGAAAGGATCGAAAAGAAAGAGAGAATGGAATAATATATGCGGTCAGGCATTTGAGGCGCCTCATGAGGTTATGCTGTACAGCATCGACTCGTAGCTTCAGCATCAATGCCGTATGCCCAGGTAGCGGCCGTTCGGGCATACGGCTCCGAGCCTGATGCGCTCAACCTGCCGGCCGCCGGCTTCGGGCATTGAAGCCCGATGCTGGAGAGCCGACCGAGCCAGCCTCAAGCGCTGATGCTGAGGTTTGATGCTGGCTCAGGGACCAACATGGGCCTCAGCCTCTGAGGCCGGACCGCCGGCTTGCGGCCCGATACGGCCTCAATTTTCGGACCCGCCACCCAGCTTAATTACCGACGGGGCTGTCCCAGAAGACCGCGACCCTCGGACTCGGCGATGAATTCGCGGAACACCCCTTTGTTTACGTTTCCCATTGGCGCGGTGGCCCACGCCGGGGCCCTGGCGTCCGACGCGTCTGCTAATTGAAGCCGCTAATTTTGATGCTGGACTCAGCATCAAAACTGATGCAGCATCAGAAAAGGAGCCGGGAGTCGGCTTCACCCGCCTCAACGGCATATGCGCTCCCCCGGCGCACTGATCGAAGCGGCATGAAAGTCCGCGCCGGGCCTCCGCCTCGCGCGCCGATGCGGCTCCGTTTATGATGCTCCCTCAAACCTCAGCTCTAAATCCCTGTATGCGGTATTCAAGTGAGAGACTATTTTTTATTGATCAGAAGGATTCTGTCCTAGGTGATTTTATTTTTACCAGGCTCAAAGTGAGCCGGCTACTACCATGGGTAGGAGACCTGAAGGGCCACCAGGCACGAAATGCGCCGGCTTCTGCTTTGCGCAGGAAAGTCAGAAGGACTTGAAATTTTGAATACTACTCTGTGCTTTTGCACTTACTTTTACTCCGGATTCATAAATGAATCGGCTTCTCCGGTTGGAGGATTTGATACAAACGTGAATTTAGTTAGAGATGTCTTGAAATTTTTCCTGGGTGAATTTAGATAGGACTGCCAAAAGTGGAATATTAAAGTTGATTTCGTGATGACCCTGAGAGATTAGCCGCTCCAATCGCTATGGATGAGTTGATTCAACTTGCTCGCCAAATTCGCTCCTTGACCTTGCTCGAGGAACTCGATTCTTGACTAGGGTTCGAGTTTCCTTTCTGGCTGCTGCTTGAACTTGGTTGAGTCTTCGTTTCTTAGATCTTGATTAGCTTGCTTCGCTGCTTGGCTGGATCTGGAGACTGGGTGTTGATCGGACGGCGCATCACTTAGAAGTGAGTTCAGGGAGCGCACCGTCCCCGTATTTATACCGGTTGCGTGAGAGCGCTTTGCCGCGAGCTTGGCTGTGATTGGTCGACGCGCGCGCTGTGTGAGAAATTGGCGGGAGCACCGCTAAGCGAGTTTGAACTTGGCGGGCGCTGTGGAGACTAAGTTTTGAACGTTTTGAATTGCGCGCCCCCGCGCGGCTCGTGATTGGTGCGCTGCCTCGCGTTCATTCTGAGGCCGGGGCCAATGGAATTCAGCGGAACTTATTGCTCCCGGAATCATCACTGTGATTGGATTTCTAATGATTATTAATTTTGTTCGTCACTGTGATTGGATTTCTAATGATTATTATTTTGTAGGTGAAACCGAACAAACTCCAACACAATGTGTTGAGAAGGCGCGTCATTAACTCAGACATATCAACCCCTTTAGTTTTCATTTACAGAGATTTCAAAATAGGCAAGTAGCACAACAAGAGAATTCATACGATCCAACTCTTCGACGACGCACTTTGACGAGACGGTGTATTGTGAATGTAGAAAGCCATTCGAACAAGTTTAAGTTTTTTGATCTGCCCCCAGCAATATCTTATCAGATTCTTAGAGAAAAGTGCTATGGAATAATTTAAGCGAAGAAAGGAAAAATTCTGTCAAACTCCTGAAAGATACAGTCGATTTAAAGGTATTTTTGGGGCTAAAATATCCAAATCACCGGTACCTATTATAAATCCGGATATATTATTGAAAAGAAATTGACTCGATATAAATGTAATTGCATTAAATATGTCTTGATTTTGTTATTTTAAACGTATTTCCATGCAAAGAAGTTCAATCATGTCCATGCTATATTCATTCATGAATTGAAAGTAAGCAATCTACATCCTGAAAATCTACCGATTTGCCGTAAAAAATTGCAGAAACTTGATGTACCAGGTCGATGCACT